CTTATCTCTTGCCGTTCTGGAGGCTGGAAGTGTAAGATTCAGAAGCCAGCAGGTCTGCTGTCTGGTCAGGGCTACGCTCAGCTTCCAAGGTGGCATCTTTCTGCTGCATCCTGTGGAGGGGACGGAGGCTGTGGCCTCACATGGAGGGGTGGGAGGGTGAGAGGACCCTGCCGCCTGAGGTCTGGTCTGCGAGGACATTCACAGGCTAACCCCTCCTAACACCATCACAGGGGCCACGGTCAACCCCTAAATTTTGGTGGAGATGAAAACCACAACACACTCACACACCCCCACTGCTCACACCATACACCAGGCAATGGCACATCCACACAGCGATACCTGCACCCCATATACACCTGCACACCCCGTACCTGCACCCCATATACACCTGCACACCCCATATACACCCGCACCCCATATACACCCGCACCCCATATACACCTGCACACCCCCATATCTACACCCCAAACACACCTGCACACCCCATTACCTCCTGCACACCCCATATACACCTGCACACCCCACATACACCTGCACACCCCCGTACCTGCACCCCAAACACACCTGCACACATCCCCACCTGCACCTGTACCCCGTCCACACCACACACACCCTGTCCACACCTGCACAACCCCCCTCACTTGTACCCATCCACACCTGCACACACATCCCCACCTGCGGCCCATGCACACTTGCACCCCCGCCCACAATCTGAGGGCCTCGGAGGAGACCCTGTGCCCCTCCTCTGCCTCCAGATTCAGAACAGGAAGCTATGAGCTTGGAGAGGACTGACAAGGGTCCAAGGTTCACAGCTGGTGGGGCAGGCTCAGCCACACTTCGAGGGCCTAGGGTAGCTCTGGGTGATGGGGCATCTGCCTCAGTTTCCACATCTGCAACAAAGCCCTGAAGGCACAGCAGGGTGAGCAGATGCCGCGTCCCACACAGCAGGTCCCACCACCCTCCTTCTTCCTACTTCCTGGCTGAGACACGCACAAGCTCGCAGGGCCCTGGCTGAGGGTGCACGGCTGCGGGTCCTCACACCCGTCTGCAGGTGGGGGTGCACGGCTGCGGGCCCTCACACCCATGTGCAGGTGGGGGTACACGGCTGCGGGCCCTCGTGCCCCAGTCTGCAGGTGTGGGTGAACAGCTGCGGGCCCTCACGTCCCAGTCTGCAGGTGGGGGTGCACGGCTGCGGGCCCTCACGCCC